TTAAACAGTATAAGACATCACAAAAGCAATAAAAGCGACACCATCAGCATCTCATTATTCTCAAGCATTGTCAAATTCCATTCTCAGGTCATTCGGTTTCCAATTAGCTACTCTGTATTTGTAAACGCTTCCTCCAACAGCCACGTTTTAACTTGCCTCCGAAACGTCAAGAGGGAGGGAGCAGATCTGATCTCCCCAGGGAGGGCGATCCATAGTCGAGGGGCCACCACTGAGAAGGCCCTGTCTCTCATCCCCGCCAAACGTGATTGTGACCAAGGCGGGACCGAGAGCAGGGCCTCCCCAGATGATCTTAAAGTYCTCAGTGGTTCGTAAGGGGAGATACGTTCGGACAGGTAAGTTGGGCCAGAACCGTTTAGGGCTTCATAGGCCAAAGCCAGCACTTTGAATTGGGCCCGGTAGCAAACTGSCAGCCAGTGGGGCTGGCGCAACAAAGGGGCTGGATGCTCCCTGTGCGCCGCTCCTGTTAACAACCTGGCTGCCGTTTGTTGGACTAGTTGAAGTTTCCGGACCGTCTTCAAAGGCAACCCCACGTAGAGTGTTGCAGTAGTCTATACGGGATGTAACCAGAGTGTGGACTACCGTGGCCAATCAGACTTCCCAAGATAAGGGCGCAGAATTGTGCAAAAGCTCCCCTGGCCACCACTGAGACCTGGGGTTCCAGGCTCAGTGATGAGTCCAGGATCACACCCAAGCTGCGAACCTGCATCTTCAGGGGGAGTGTGACCCCATCCAGCACAGGCTGTAACCCTATGCCCTGTTCGGCCTTGCGATTGACCAGGAGTACCTCTGTCTTGTCTGGATTCAGTTTCAATTTGTTCGCCCTCATCCAGACCGTCACAGCGGCCAAGCACCAGTTCAGGACCTGGACAGCCTCCTTAGTAGCAGGTGGGAAGGAGTGACAGAGTTGGACATCATCTGCGTAGAGATGACACCGCACCCCGAAACTCCGGATGATCTCCCCCAGCGGCTTCATGTTAAACAACATGGGAGACAATACTGAGCCCTGAGGAACCCCACAAGACAAAGGATGTGAGGTTGAACAGGTGTTTCCCAATAGCACCTTCTGGGTGCGACCCTTGAGAAAGGACCGGAGCCACTGCAAAAATTTAAATAGCCACCAGACTGGTAATAGATCAGTGGACTGTAAGTATACTGTTTTAATCTTTATGTCTTAATGTTTATGCTTTTAACTGTTTTGTATTTTATTATGCGGCATCGAATTGTTGCCAATTGGAAGCCGCCCTGAGTCCCCCCCCCCCCCCGGGGTTGAGAAGGGCGGGGTAAAAGTGTTTGAAATAAACAAACAAATAAATAACCAGGGCAACGAGGAGACTAAAGTCGTGGTGGTGCGTGGAGCCGAGGTTTGACGTTTAAAATGTTTTCACTGGAGGCACTTTTTTGAAGGAGGAACTCATTATGACCCCAACCAGAATCCTTTCTTTCTTCTAATATCTACAGCCGCCTTCTTCTGAGGTAAATCTTCTTCTCAATAAATGGACGTGAGTCTTGATGATAAAGAACTGATCGAGGAGATATTTAAGGATTCACTGACAATTCAGGGCACTGACTTGCCTTTTTCTCCCTTCTGCTTTCCCCTTCGCTCATGAGCTAATTACTAATTTAAACAGACCCAACTGACTCTGTAAACACACAGGCTGAAGACTTAAACCCCCYGGTTCAGGGTCTCCACACACCAGAACCCAACTTCCACTCTTGTCCGCTGACTYAAAGYAACGCWCTCTTTCCAAKRGCCTGRCCRGGCCGAGTGGCAGTTAGCTCCGCCCCTTTYGCTTCTCTBACTTGGARACATTCTCACAGCCGGTRCCGTCGCTATGGCAACGCCTCAGCTCAGGCGACACATCAGCTGGCCTGCACTTACATCGTAACATTAATCAACATTTCTAAAACGTACATTATAATTAGCTATTTCTTTACAGCCTCTAACCAATGGCAGATAGCAAGCTGCATGGCAGAGGAGGAAGGGCACACACAAGCCGCTCCCACCCTTCTCTCCAGATTCCGTCCCTGTCACGCCATCTTCTCTGTTGTCTTAACCCTTCAGATTGTTGTGCTGTGAACACGTGTCTATTAAGAACTGTCTCATTACACATTGCAGGGGAGGGCCATGCATTCCTATCCATCTTTTTCTACACGACAGTCGTGGGGGGGGGGGTGTCACATGAACCCAAAAAACCATTCCGTGGCCGCCCCCTCCCCCCCTGCTGAGGAAGAAGCCCTTCCTTCTCTTCTCAACCTGTGGGTCTCTCCCCAGATGCGTTTTGGCTTTCACCTCCCAGAAATCCTCACAACTGGTCAACTGGCTGGGAGTTCTGGGAGTTGTAGGCCACAACACCTGGGGAGAGACCCACAGGGTGAGACCCACTGCTCTAAGCTAAACACACCCAGCTCTTTTGAGACATTCCCTACAGCCCGTCTCTGGAGATATTCTGGCTTGTCAATATCCGCCTTGAGTTGTGCTGCCAGGAACGGGAGACAGAGCGATTGCAGGTGAGTTCTGAGCAAAGCAGGAGAAAGGAGGCCATGACTTCCTTGGACGTCGACACCACGTCTCCTCTTTGCACAGCCTAGGATCACATTGGCATTTGTGGCTGCCACATCACACTCTGGTTTTTTCAAAATAATTTTTATTGGGCATTGTGGCTTCGCAGGGCAGAGAAGTCAAGCTGCGTGTCCCGGGCAACGTCCACACGCCCTGTCTCTCAGGATCTGATCCCAGGTTTCATGGACTCCCAGAATCCAGTCCAAGGCAGAGGATGTGGGGCCAGATCCTGGGAGAGAGGGAAGTGTGGATCCAGGCCGAGGCTTCAGCATTCCAATCTGGGCAAAGCCAGTCCCGTGAGCCTCGGTTCCAGCCACATGGCTCCCAATGGTTTCCTTGAAGAGCGTGGAAGGCCTTCCTCTCCCTGTCTCCTATCTGTGGGCACACCAGGCGGGGCTCACTCTTCGCCCTGATCCCCTAATTGGGGGAAGGGGCTCTCTCCCTCCTTCCCCCCTCCACCAGCCTCCTTCCTCGGGGCCAACCCCCTCCCTCCCCCTCCTTGAAGGGTCTGCTTTGGGCAGGGAAGGAAGGAAGGAGGGGAGAGAGGGGGCCTCCAAGGGGGAGGAATGAAGGGCTGCCCAGTGCCTGCCTGAGGGAGGGCTACAGCCCGTCCCTGGAGATATTCTGGCTTGTCAATATCCGCCTTGAGTTGTGCTGCCCAGAACGGGAGACAGAGCGATTGCAGGTGAGGTCTGAGCAAAGCAGGAGAAAGGAGGCTGTGACTTCCTTGGACGTAGACACCACGTCTCCTCTTGGCACAGCCTAGGATCACATTGGCATTTGTGGCTGCCACATCACACTCTGGTTTTTCAAAATAATTTTTATTCAAAGGCAAGAAAGAAAAGCATGTTTATGCAAATTACAATTTTGGGATTTTAAAAAAGGAATCCTTAACAAACATGAAAGACTGAACAACACACAACGACATAAAAAAAGAAAACTAAGAGAACAACGGATCAACACAACTCTTGTCGCACGGAGATTTTTACCTGTATTCATTCACTTTAAATGCTGTTCTATATTTATTCTTCCGTTTCTAAATATAATAAACTCATTCCTAAAACCCACAATAAACAAATGTCCCCTCATTGTTATAACTAGTGAATTATTAGTGGGTCCCAATCTCATTTCATAGAATCCTTGAGTTGGAAGAGACCTCGTGGGCCATCATCCAGTCCAACCCCCTGCCAAGAAGCAGGAAAATTGCATTCAAAGCACCCCCGACAGATGGCCATCCAGCCTCTGTTTACAAGCTTCCAAAGAAGGAGCCTCCACCACACTCCGGGCAGAGAGTTCCACTGCTGAACAGCTCTCACAGTCAGGAAGTTCTTCCTCATGTTCAGGTGGAATCTCCTTTCTTGTATTTTGAAGCCAATGTTCCACGTCCTAGTCTCCAGGGAAGCAGAAATCAAGCCTTCTCCCTCCATTTCCCCCCAAAATAAGACATTATTTCTTTCTCAAGAAGACACGCTATGGCTTACTTTCAGGGGATGTCTTATTTGTATATCCAAGGCCAGGACTCCAGTGCTCAGGTGGAGAGGAGGAGGAGGAGGAGGCGACCCAGGGCTTGGTCCCTCCTTGGATGGGACAAACAATGCCTTCCTCCCTCCCTACTTCAGTCTTCCCCCCACTTTTCCCACACACTTTTCCCACCCCAGTCTTCCCCTTTTCTAGTTGCCCCCTTCCTATCCCATTCAGTCTTACTTTTTTTCCAGCTACCCTTTTTCCACCTCACTTTCCCACTTTTTCCAAACATTCCTTCCCATTCCAACTTTTCCTCCATTTCCTCTCCTTCTTTCTCATCCTCTTCTCACCCTCTTCATATACACATAGCACTTTCTCCAAAATGTGCACTGTAGTTAAAATAAACTATGGCAATAATTTGATTATCATTGTTGTATTTGTTGTTTATAATTTTATTCTATTACTATTACATTTCTTTTACTCTGTTATTATTATTACATTTATTATTTTATTGTTAATATTATTGTTTTCCTCTATTTATTTTTATTACATTATTTTATGCTATCATTGTTTTTATTATACTTATTATTTTACACTATCATTACATTTATTATTTTACCCTATTTATTATTATTAATACATTTAATATTTTATTCCATTGTTGTTATTTTTTATTACATGTATTATTTTACCCTATTTATTATTATTGGAAGGATACATAAGCACATTTACACTGAAGAAGGTTAGAATAATGATTTAATCAGAGTGGGACAGACTTATCTTAAATTACAGTTTTGTGCAATTATTCAGAAACATTTAACCTATAGATGCCTCAATTAATGTAATTTTATTGCGATCTATTTTTATTTCTATTCTTGAAGCTGCTGCATTTCCCACCCTAACTTATACTCAAGTCAATAAGTTTTCCTAATTTTTGTGGTAACATATGATGCCCCCTCTTATATTAGGTCGGCTTATGCTCAAGTATATACGATATGTGGCTTCTCCTCTGTGTGGGTTCTTTGATGGGAACACAGACTGTCACTGCGACTGAAGCTCTTTCCACATTCTATGCATTTATGTGGCTTCTCTCCTGTGTGGGTTCTATGATGGATATCCAAACTGTCACTCCGACTGAAGCTCTTTCCACATTCCATGCATTTATGTGGTTTCTCTCCTGTATGGATCCTTTGATGGGTACGCAGATTTGAACTCTGACTGAAACTCTTTCCACATTCTATGCATTTATATGGCTTCTCTCCTGTGTGGGCCCTTTGATGAATACGCAGACTCACACTGTGACTGAAACTCTTCCCACATTCAATGCATTTATGTAGCTTCTCCCCTGTGTGGGTTCTTTGATGGATACGCAGATTCCCTCTCTGACTGAAGTTCTTTCCACATTCTATGCATTTATGTGGCTTCTCTCCTTTGTGGGCCCTTTGATGAATACGCAGACTGTCACTGTGACTGAAGGCCTTTCCACATTCTATGCATTTATGTGGCTTCTCCCCTGTGTGGGTTCTTTGATGGATACGCAGATTGCCCCTCTGACTGAAGCTCTTTCCACATTCTATGCATTTATGTGGTTTTTCCCCTGTGTGGATCCTTTGATGAATACGCAGGGTGTCACTGTGACTGAAGCTCTTTCTACATTCCATGCATTTATGTAGCTTCTCCCCTGTGTGGGTTCTTTGATGGATACGCAGATTCCCCCTCTGACTGAAGTTCTTTCCACATTCTATGCATTTATATGGCTTCTCTCCTGTGTGGGCCCTTTGATGAATACGCAGGGTGTCACTGTAACTGAAGCTCTTTCCACATTCTATGCATTTATGTGGCTTCTCTCCTGTGTGGGTCCTTTCATGGATACGCAGACTGTCGCTGTGACTGAAGTTCTTTCCACATTCCATGCATTTATGAGGTTTTTCCCCTGTGTGGGTTCTTTGATGGATACGCAGATTCCCTCTCTGACTGAAGTTCTTTCCACATTCCATGCATTTATGTGGCTTCTCCCTTGTGTGGGTCCTCTGATGGGTATGCAGATTTGAACTCTGACTGAAGCTCTTTCCACAATGCATGCATATATGTGGTTTCTCTCCTGTATGGGTCCTTTGATGGGTATGCAGACTATACCTCTGACTGAAGCTCTTTCCACATTCAATACATTTATGTGGTTTTTCCCCTGTGTGGGTCCTTTGATGGGAACGCAGATGTCCACTGTGATTGAAGCTCTTTCCACATTCCATGCATTTATGTGGTTTCTCCCCTGTGTGAGTCCTTTGATGAGAGTGCAGAGTCCCACTCTGACTGAAGCTCTTTCCACATTCCATGCATTTATACGGCTTCTCTCCTGTGTGAGTTCGTTGATGTGTAGTAAGAGAACTTCTTAAAGTGAAACATTTCCCACATTCCATACAATTATATCGCTTCTCCCCTGTGTGTGATTTTGACAAGGAATTGAGATTTTCCATTCTTTTACTTTTTGGATTCAAATATTATGCCAGAAGGTCACAGATATATTCTCCTTATTTTGTCTTCTCAGTCCTTGTATTGCTCTAGTCCATTTGAATAAATAAATTACCAAGCTCCACTTTTTTCAGCACAATCCTCCCTTTCCTCCTTGAATAGAATCATAGAATCAAAGGGTTGGAAGAGACCTCATGGGCCATCCAGTCCAACCCCATTCTGCCAAGAAGCAGGAATATTGCATTCAAATCACCCGACAGCTGTCCGAGCTCCACAGCTATGGAGCTCGAAACACAATTTCTCCAACTTATTTCTTGTGAGTGCTGTGTAACTTCATTCCTGAGCTAACGAAAGGGAAGTGTTCTTCTCAAGGTTCCTTCAGAGGTTACCTGCCAGAAAAACAAGAGGAAAATCTTATCAGGAGCAGAGCACAGAAATATCTCATTTAACAACAAGAACAATAGCTTGGTGCTGTAGCCAATGCCGGAGAAGACGGGAGAAAGAGCGGTCCTATTGAGAAGAGCCTTGGCCTGCTGAGAAGTACTTTAACACTTGCCCAACAGAGAGCAAGCCCTGCAAAGAGGGGAGAGTGGCCCACGATTCTCGGCAGGAGATTACTTTCACTGCAGTGTGTTCAGAGTGTCATCCAATCTTTGCAAAGGAAGACTTCTAACAATATGGTCAGCGCAGAAAGGGCTCAGGTTGCAAAGCGTTTCCTGCCTAGATCCCGCTTCCTCACATCCCAACTCAGAACCTGAGTGACCACCTGTACGGGCAGAACATCCCAAGTGGTCAGCTTGTGAGAAAAATACTTCATTTCTTCCAACTGAAGCAATTTTTTTCCTGACCTCGGGCAGAACAAATGCAAAGAAAAACCAAAGCAAACTTCTACACCAAGAATGGAGATAGGGATGCAGAAGCACAGGGTGGGAGGCACTCAGCCTAGCAGCAGTACACGAGATAAGAGGTATAGAGAGGATGAGTGGATGGATGGACCCCCAGTGCCAAAGATGATGCTTCTGCTATGGCTCAAGGGGTCGGAGGGAAACCATCAAGTTCACTGCATCCACTACAGGCCCCTCTTCGGCCCTCGGAGCCCATTTGCAGGGGTTTTATTGAGGATCACCTGCCAGTTATCACAGGGTGTCTGCGCTCTACAACACTGGAGAGATTACACTGTCTAGCTGCACCACCTGACATCCGCCGGGAAGTAGCAGCCAATAGTGAAAGGACCAAGGCAGAGACATCTCCAGCTCATCATCGGTTTGGGTATCAGCCAGCATACCAACAACTGAAATCAAGAAATAGTTTTCTAAGATCTACAGAGACACTCGCTGGAACACCTCAGCAAGCGAGAGTCCAAAAGTGGCAGGCTCAAACGCAGAACTGATACCAAATGAGAGACTCCCCCCTGGGCACACAGAAGACTGGGCGACTTGGAAGGTGCTGAACAGACTGCGCTCTGGCACCACAAGATGCAGAGCCAACCTTAAGAAATGGGGCCACAAAGTGGAATCCCCCACATGCGAGTGTGGAGAAGAGCAAACTACAGACCATCTACTGCAATGCAACCTGAGCACCACCACAGAAACAATGAAGGACCTTCTTGCAGCAACACCAGAGGCACTCCACGGGGCCAGATACTGCTCAAAGGACATTTAATCAACTACCAAGCTTGCAAACTTTGTGTTTTGCCTGTTTTGTTTGTTTGTTAAAAAAATGCAACACAACTGTTTGGTCTGCTCCTGACACGATAAATAAAAAATGAATAAATAACCTGACAGGTGAGTTGAGACTGTCACCTGGGTAGTGCCAGGCTTGTTTCCTAAGCAGGATATTGTACGGCTTGTGCCGCCAGGTAAATGGTCCCCCAATTAACCCGGCAGTTTATTGACCACATTCACAAGTAGCATTTTAATCAATGTTTTTAATGTTTATGTATACCCACATGAATACTTGTCCCAGCATGTTTGCCGTATATATGCTGTGCTCCGCCCCAAGTCCCCTTCGGGGTGAGAAGGGCCGAATATAAATGTTTTAATCATCCAGATTATTGGAGATCAGAGTATCCTTCTGGTGTGCTATGACCTGGATCACATGAGCCTACACAATGCCATATGGTCCAGTGCAAGGCAGTTCGCCTGGGTTTCCTCTGGCAGTGCAGAAGTGGAGGGAGGCGCAGGCGCAGAGGGAAGCTGGTGAGGAAACACAACATACAAACGATCTCCAGACCCAGCAAGAAAACCCAACCATGCTCCGTTCAGCAAAGGACAAGAGGGATCCTCTCACCTCTGCAGGAGTCTACCACATGCAGCTGTGGACAAGAGGTCTCCAGAGGGACCCCCAAACGCAGTAGCAGCAGCAGCAGCATTTCCCAAACACGAATCCAGGAACATGAACGGCACTTGGCAGACGGATTCAACCAGAGAAGTCAGCCATAGCAGAGCACCTGATGAACCCACCTGGACTCAGCTTATTATCTGAGAAGACAGAAATGGTGGACCACCCTCACAACCACCATGCCAGGCGACACAGAGAAGCCACTGACATCCGCAAGAAACAGGTGGACAATATCAACAGAAAGGAGGAAACCATGGAAATGAACAAAATCTGACTACCACTATTTAAAAAAAACTCTAAAATTCTAACAGTCAATAAAAAACAAAACTCCAACACAGGGGAACTCCAGACAAGAAACAATCAGGAACAACTAATCACCTCTCAACAAAGATTTCCCCCAGGGAGTAACAGGACACACTTAAAAACTGCCAGGCCATCAAATGCTAATCAAGGTGGCCAATTGAAACATTCACACCTGCCCTCCAACGGACAAGAGTTCTTTCTCCCACCCGGGACATTATTCCACAGATCTATAAATCCCGTTTTCCTTGTTTCCAACAGACGTCACAACCGCTGAGGATGCCTGCCACAGATGCAGGCGAAACATCAGGAGAGAATGCTTCTAGAACATGGCCATAAAACCCGAAAAACCTACAACAACTTTCCCTGAGTCTCCTTCCAGGGTGAGAAGGGCAGCATATAACTGTAGCAAATCAATCAATCAATCAATGTTTGTGCTATGGCTCAAGGGGGAGGAGGGAGGCCATCGAGTTCACTGCACCCACTACGGGCCCCTCTTTGGCCCCGGGAGCCCCTTTGGGGGAGTTTCCTTGAGGGTCCTCTGCCAGTGGAGCTGAGACCGAGCCCCACTCAAAGCGTCAAGCAGGGGCTTCCGCCACAGCCGCCTGGAGTCACCTTCGGACATGAGAAAGGCGGGGGAGAAATATCGTCAATCATAAACAAACACTTGCGTTACTTTATGATAAACACTTTATGATGTTTTTATGTTTTTACTGTTCATAATCTAAGATGTATGTTGATGGTTTTGTTGTCAGCTGCCCCGAGTCCGTCTGCGGAGGTCGAGATGGGGCGGGATATCAATGCCCCAAATATATAGACAAATGCGACTGTAATTGCCAACAAGAGGACTGGCTGGGCTGGCTTCCTTTTGCTGCCATGGCTCAGAAGAGGCTTCTCACTGGTTTTAACTGTTTATTTTTAATAGAGTCGCTGTTTAATTTTAATGTGTGTGTTTTTTGGTTTTCAATGATATCCTGAGTTGCTTTGATTGTAAACGGTTTCGGTTTCCTTTTAAGAGAGAGAAAGAGGGAGGATGACTAAAATGACCAAGGGTCTGGAGACCAAGCCCTATGAGGAGTGGCTTAAAGAGTTGGGCATGTTTAGCATTCAGAAAGGAAGGCTGAGAGGAGACATGATGAGGGCCATGGATAAGTATGTGAGAGGAAGCCACAGGGYGGAGGAGGAGGAGGGAGSYAGCTTCCTTTCTGCTGCCCTGGAGACGAGGACACAAGGGAGCCATGGCTTCAAACTACAAGAAAGGAAGGAAGGAAGGAAGGAAGGAAGGAAGGAAGGAAGGAAGGAAGGAAGGAAGGAAGGAAGGAAGGAGATTCCACCTGAGGAACCTGAGGAAGAACTTCCTGACTGCGAGGGAGAGTCCTTCAGCAGTGGAACTCTCCACCCAGAGTGTGGTGGAGGCTCCTTCTTTGAAGGCTTTGAAGTAGAGGCTGGCTGGCCATCTGTCAGGAGGGCTTTGAAGGCGATCTTCCTGCTTCTTGGGTGAAAGGGGTTGGGCTGGGTGATGGCCCGCGAGATGCCCTCCATCTCTGGTCTTCTTCTTCCCAAGGCCCCTTCTAGACTGCCACACCACCCGGGTTCTCAGCGCATGAGGGGATCCACCTTGTGTGCTGCCAGGGACCGGAGAAGGGGAGCCCTGCCCTGCCCTGCCCTGCCCCCGCCCGGGGATCCAGGCCAAGGCCGCTCTCTCTCGCCTGCACTCAAGGAAGGCTCCCTTCCAAGCCTAGGCCGCGATGAAGGAGGAGGCGCGAGGAAAGAGGCCGAGCCGGGACAGAAAGGCCGAGAAGACGCAGGCCGAGGAGGAGGAGGAGGAGGGAGGGGAAAGCAGGCCCAACACCCGCCATGACTTACCTCAGCCTCCCGCGCGCTCTCCCTCTTGCCCGCCTCCGCCTCCTCCGGAAGTGAGCTCACACAGGAAGGCGCCGCTGGCCCCGCCCCTCCCCAGCCTCCCCCCCGCTCTGGACTTCCGCCCTCAACAAAGATGGCGGCCGCGAGCAGGAGACCCTTAGGGAGGCGGGGCTTCTTCGCGGTAATTCAACGGCACTGAGAGAGAGAGAGAGAGAGAGAGAGAAACGGAGAGAGAGCGAGCATTGCTTCTCCCTCTCCCTTTCCTCCCCTCCGTTTCCTTCCTTCTTCCCTCCTTCCCTTCCTTTTTCTCTTTCACTCCTTCCCTCTTTCCTAACTCCCTTCCTTCTTTTTCCCTTTCCGTATTTCCTTTTCTCCTTCCTTTTTCTCTTTCCTTCCTGCCTTCCTTGCTTCCTTCTTCCCTTCCTTCCCTGTTTCCTACATTCCTTATTCCCTTCCCTTTTCTCTTTCCTTCCTTCTTCCCGCATTCCCTTCCTTTTTCCCTTTCCTTCCTTCCTTCTTCTCTTCCATTTGCTCTTTCCTTCCTGTCTTCCCTGCTTCCTTCTTTCCCCATTCCCGTCCTTCTTTTCTCCTTCCCTTCCTTTTCCCCTTTCTTTCCTTCCTTCCCATTTCCCTTTCCTTCCTGCCTTCCCTGCTTCCTTCTTTCCTTATTCCCTCCCTACCTTTCCCTGTCTTTCCTTCCTTCTTCCCTTTCCTTGTTTCCTTCCCTTCCCTGCTTTCCTTGATCCCTTCCTTCCTTCCTCCCTCCTTTTCTTCCTTCCCTCCTCCTTTCTTCCCTTTCTTTTTACCTTTCCTTCCCCCCTTCCCTTTCCTTTCCTTCCAGCCTTCCCTGCTTCCTTTTTTCCTTCTTCCCTTCCTTTTTCTTTCC